CGTCTCCCCATCTCCCTCCCCTCGAGTGAATAGGAGATGGGGAGGGGGGGGGGGTGATTCTGGCGGCAGACCAACACCTCGTGGCGCCGTGTCAGCCTTAATAGGCGCTCGCTAACAGCACTTGCCCCAACAGTCTGTACAGGCTTTCTGGTGTATCTTTGTCTTTGTATGTGTGTGTGTGCTGTGGAGATGTACCGGCGACGAGATCAGCTGTTGCAGAGGAGTGATGCTGATGGTGATGATGGAAGCCTGGGGCAGGTTTTATCCAGCAGTGGATAGCCCATGGCTTGATGCTGATGATGGAAGCCTGGGGAAGGTCTTTATCCAACAGTGGATAGTCCATGGCTTGATGCTGATGGTGATGATGGAAGCCTGGGGCAGGTCTTTATCCAACAGTGGATAGTCCATGGCTTGATGCTGATGGTGATGATGGAAGCCTGGGACAGGTCTTTATCCAACAGTGGATAGTCCATGGCTTGATGCTGATGGTGATGATGGAAGCCTGGGGCAGGTCTTTATCCAACAGTGGATAGTCCATGGCTTGATGCTGATGGTGATGATGGAAGCCTGGGACAGGTCTTTATCCAACAGTGGATAGCCCATGGCTTGATGCTGATGGTGGTGATGGAAGCCTGGGGCAGGTCTTTATCCAGCAGTGGATATTCCATGGCTTGATGCTGATAGGGGAGGCAGTGGTTGCAGGTGAAGGAGGGAGGGAGAGCGATGGGGCAGGTGATTTTTTTTAGGGGGGGGAGGGAGCGCGTGCCGTTGAATTCGCTTAGGGGATCAGTGGGGGGGGGGGGGGGGGGGGGGGGATAGAGGGGAGGGGCCGGACCAATTACCGCACGCGCTCGCCCAGACCCATCCGCGTGCGGTCACGTGCGTGAGCTACAGAGAGGGGGGCGGGCGGGGGAGGGGGCTTCGGGGGGAGGGGCTGGGGGAGAGGGGACGCGTGCCCTGCGTGCAGAGCGGCGCATGGATGCGAGCGGAGAGTGCGTTTGTTGCGCGCGTGCGCGTGCGTTTGTTGCGCGCGTGCGCGTGCGTTTGTTGCGCGCGTGCGTGTGTGCGTGTGTGTACTGTTTCACATGTGGGAGAGACAAAGGCGGTCGGGCGTGGTGCTGGCCACTCACCCCCTCGTGTACCGTTCCGGCCTTCATAGGTGCTCGCTAACAGCACTTGCCCCTACAGTCTGTTAAGGCTATACGGGGGATCTTTGTCTTTGTTGTGCATGTGCACCTAGCCTGGCACAAACGCTGCGGTGACAGCGTCACAGTCACTTGGGGGTAGATTGGCGGCTGTGGTTGTGGTGTGTGCATGTACGGTGTGCGTAATTGGGGAGCGGTGGCGCAGTGGTTAGCGCACTGCGCTCTACTAAACCGGCGAGGCGAGTTCGATTCCCGTTCGCAGCCCACATTAATAAGAAACATCTCAGCCGCTGCTGGGCCTTCCCTAGATCGACTCAGCCTCAAATGAGTATCAGGTGCAATCATAAGCACTGGGGAGACAAAGGCGGCCGGGCGTTGTGACGGTGTTGGCCACCCACCACCCTTGTGTGCCGTGCCCTCCTCCCTTAATAGGTGCTCGCAAACAGCACTTGCCCCAACAATCTGTTGAAGGCTATACGGGGGATCTTGGTGTCGACAAAGGAGGGCGAAGGAGCGACGCTCACAACAACGAGCGAAGCACCAGGCGGCTGAAGCGCATTGAGGTGGCAACAGTGGAGAGCACAGGTGGTGCATCTCAGTCAGACATCCTGCACCTAGCCTGGCACATCAGTCAACACATAACACCTGGTTTGTCACGTGACATCCTGCACCTATAGCCTGGCACAACAGTCAACACATAACACCTGGTTTGTCATGTGACATCCTGCACATAGCCTGGCACAACAGTCAACACATAACACCTGGTTTGTCACGTGACCTCCTGCACCTAGCCTGGCACAACAATCAACACATAACACCTGGTTTGTCACGTGACATCCTGCACATAGCCTGGCACAACAGTCAACACAACACCTGGTTTGTCACGTGACATCCTGCACATAGCCTGGCACAACAGTCAACACGTAACACCTGGTTTGTCACGTGACCTCCTGCACCTAGCCTGGCACAACAGTCAACACATAACACCTGGTTTGTCACGTGACCTCCTGCACCTAGCCTGGCACAACAGTCAACACATAACACCTGGTTTGTCACGTGACCTCCTGCACCTAGCCTGGCACATCAGTCAACACATAACACCTGGTTTGTCACGTGACATCCTGCACATAGCCTGGCACAACAGTCAACACATAACACCTGGTTTGTCACGTGACATCCTGCACATAGCCTGGCACATCAGTCAACACATAACACCTGGTTTGTCACGTGACCTCCTGCACCTAGCCTGGCACAACAGTCAACACATAACACCTGGTTTGTCACGTGACATCCTGCACCTAGCCTGGCACAACAGTCAACACATAACACCTGGTTTGTCACGTGACATCCTGCCAGCAGCGAGCCTTCCACATTTGACATGCTCTCAAGGTGCACCTAGCCTGGCACAAGGCCCGTGATGACGCCGTGCGTGTGTAGGAGGAGCGGTGTCTAAGTGGTTATTACACTGCGCTATTAATTGCACGGTGACCTAGATTAGTTTTCCGGCCACGGCTAACATCAGTCGCAATAATCACAACCCATCCCGCGCCCTGCATGGGATGGGTTGAGATAGTGAGTAGCTGGTGCGGTGTGCAGTAAACATGAGCTCTGGGGAGACAAAGGCGGCCGGGCGTGGTTGTTGTCCACCGCATCTAATCGTGCACCGTATTGGCCTGAATGTTTTCCCAGCATTTTAAGGATATAGGGGTGTGTGTGTGTACTGTATATATGTATGGATATTTACACGCGTTGATAAAAACATTGTTTTACGTCCGTATGTGACGAGGTCCGTCGCTTGCTATTAAACGTATAGATTCGACGAAGTCTCAAGACTTCAAGGAGGGGCACCCTGCCCCGCGTAGCGATGACAATTGCAGAGCGATTTTAAGGCAACGTCACGCTCAGCATTGAGATGTTTGACCATCACCAGTTGCCCCCCCCGCCCACCCCCACCCGTGAGTGCGTGTGGCTTCATCTGCTGGGGAGTTTGCAACGGGAGGATGCCTCGTGCAGAACACGGGCAGAGCCGTACACGCTCCACGCAGAGAAGCGCCCGAGTCGGGAGTCTTGCCGCCACACTGCCGCCCGCGTCTCGTGGTATCGTCGTCAAATTCATAAAGTCGCCGAAATCAACCGAGGAATTCTTCCGCGTGCAAATGCGACGTTGCAGATTGTATATGTCTCACGTGTATTTATATACACGCATATATATACACATATATATGCGTGTATATGCATATACATGCATTCTCGACACTTCAAGTAGCCTCAACGTGCACATAGCCTGGCACAAGCGCCCTGGTGACGTCACCGCCACGTATTGGCGAATGGCTGCTGTTGTTGTGTGTACATACACGTGCCTATGTGTGGTACTGTGTATGTGCATAGATACACGTGTGCATATGTGTGGGTGTGTATATATCTGGGTGTATGCACACACGTGTGTGTGTGTGTATACACGTTGGTGTCTATATGTGGGTGTGGGTATGTGGGTATGGGTGTATGTCATTGTGTATACATGTTTGTTTGTATGTTTGTATGTTTGTATGTAAACGTCGCCACTAAGAGAGACAAAAGAGGCCAGGCGTCGGGCTGACTCCCCACCCACCCCTATGCGTGTCGTGCCGGCCTTCATAGGTGCTCGCTAACAGCATTTGTTAAGCCTATACGGGGGATCTTTGTCTTTGTGTGTCTGTGTGTACACGCGCGCGCGTGTGTGTGCGTTCGTGCGCACTGCACTACGAACCCGGGTCGTCGATTCTCCCTCCCGACCAAGAACCATAGCGGCGAATATTTGAACCATTCCTGGGCCTCTCCTGGGTCAACTTAGCCTCGGATTAGCTCCCGGTGCGTCAACATCAGCACTGGAGAGACAAAGGCGGCCCTGGCGTGGTTGCTGGTCACCCACCCCATTGTGTGCCGTGCCAGCCTTAATAGGTGCTCGCTAACAGCACTTGCCCCAACAATCTGGTGGAGGCTGTACGGGGCGATCTTCGTCTTTGTGTGAAAGAGAGGGATGCGGTTATGATCTACTGAGGATCGATGTTTGGAGACGCCGTGGGGATAGAGACACACGGGGACAAAACAGAGACACGTGGAGACACGTGGAGACACTGTGGACACATGGAGACACTGTGGACACATGGAGACACTTTAGACAGAAGGCGAAACCGTGGAGTCACCGTGGAGACACATTGAGACACCGTGGAGACACCGTGGAGACACATGGAGGCACTTTAGACAGAAGGCGAAACCGTGGAGACACCGTGGAGACACATTGAGACACCGTGGAGACACCGTGGAGACACATGGAGACGGCGCTAATGAATGCGCGGAGAAGGGGGCAGTGGTGGCTGGAGAGGAGAGAGTTGGGGGGGGGGGGGAGAGCGTGGGAGAAATATGAGCATAAAGAGAGCGAAGAGGGAGAGTGCGCCGGGGCACAAGGGGGACGGGGGGGGGGGGCACACGCAGTGAGAGACGGGGAGAGAGAGACGGAGAGATAGAGTCGGAGAAACACAGGGGGGAGAGATACGGAGTAGAGAAATAAGGAGACATAAATAGGGGGACGGAGAGAGAGAGTGGAAAGAGAGAGAGAACGAGAGACGGATAGAGAGTCGGGGAGAGTGGCAGGGATATTTAGAGATCAGTGAGATGGAAGCTATGACATGAAGAGTGGGAGAGAGAGAGAGAGCGTGCGAGACGGAGAGATGCAGGGAGAAAGAGAATGGTGGGAGACGGGGAGAGCAAATGCGGAACGCGCGAGAGAGCGGGGGCGGTTGAGACACCGCGGGGATCAGAGGCACCAAGGGGGATCACAGGAGGAGGAAGGGGGGGGCGCGAGGGGGGGTCACTCACTGTAGACCCCAGGACCGCTCATCTCAGCCAAGGCGATCCCCGTGAGACACAGCAGCAGGGAGGCGACTCCCATCTCTCTCTTCTCTCTCGCTCTGTCTCTCTGTCTCTCTCTCTGTTGTCTGTCGCTCTCCTGCGAGGGCGGCAGCAGGAGCAGCAGCAGGAGAAGCAGAAGGAGCGCTGGTGAAGCTCTCCCTTCCCGGTGAGGAGCAGGGGGGTACCACGTTGGGGGGGGGGGGGGCACAGGTGGAGCGCCGGGGTTTGGCTCTCAACACTCCACCGGTATCATCGCGCCCTCGTTTGCACAGCTGTGCCGATGAGCAGCTGTTCTGCCGGGTCGCTGTTCCAACGGATGGCTGTTCTGCTGGGTACCTGTTCCGATGTACGGCTGTTCTGCTGGGTAGCTGTTCCAACAGATAGCTGTTGTACTGGGTACCTGTTCCGATGAACAGCTGTTCTGTCGGGTAGCTGTACCGATGCACGGCTGTCCTGCTGGTTAGCTGTTCCGATGAGCAGCTGTTCTGCCGGGTCGCTGTTCCGACGTACGGCTGTTCTGCTGGGTAACTGTTCCGATGAACAGCTGCCCTGCTGGTTAGCTGTTCCGATGAGCAGCTGTTCTCCCGGGTCGCTGTTCAGACGTACGGCTGTTCTGCTGAGTAGCTGTTCCGATGAACAGCTGTTCCGTCGGGTCGCTGTTCCAATGGACACCTGTCCTGCTGGCTAGCTGTTCCGATTAACAGCGGTTCTGCCGGGTAGCTGTTCCAACGGATGGCTGTCGTGCTGGGTAGCTGTTCCGATGAGCAGCTGTTCTGCTGGTTAGCTGTTCCAATTGATGGCTATGCCTCCTGATAGCTGTTTGGCTGACGATTGACAGCGGATGGTCAGCGTAGCTGTTGTGCTCGATAATCGTTGAACTGGATAGCTGTGCGGGACTTGAACACTCTTGGTATGGGCGACTGTCTCGCTGGTCAGCTGTTGGGCAGGGTGGTTGTTGGGATGTACAGCTGGCCCCGGGGCGGGGGTGGCTGTTGTAGCCGGAGAGCTGTCGCAGCTACGGATGGCTTTGCGTTCCAGCGTTACTTCAATGGCTCGGTCTCCAGATGGCTGTCGGGAATGGCTGTAGGATGGCTGTCGTATCCCGGGATTCTCGCTCCGTTCGTCTCGGGGTGATTATTTTTCTCGCCTTTCCGACGGCCGCCGATGCGAGGCGCGGGGAACCCGGGAGCCGGTGGGGGGGGGGGGGGTCGCGGCTTCACCCCGCGGCGCGGGAGCTACCGCTGCTGCTGCCGCTGCTGCTGCTGCCGCTGCTGCTACCGCTGCTGCTTAATTGTGATGCTGCCTGCACATTACCGCATCTCCCGCACTCGCTCCCCGCTCTCTCTCTCTCTCTCGCCGATCTCTCCCCGAGCTCTCGCCGCGCTCTCTTCACGAACACGGACGGACGCGGTGATTAAACCGCGCAGCGTTCACTTAATCCCTTTGCTCCTCCCACTCCTCCTCCTCGTCTCGTCCTCTTCCACCACCACCACCTCCACCTCCTCGTCCTCCCTCCTGATCGTCGGCCGTGGAGGACGAGGCGCGATGATATCGATGGTTGCTCCTTGCAGCTCAGCAACGATGTGGCGCGAGAGAGGAGGAGTCTCTTGTCCCCCCTCCTCCTCCACCTCCTCCACCACCTCCTCCTCCACCACCTCCTCCGCCACCACCTCCTCCTCCACCACCTCCTCGAGCTGTCGCGCGCTCAGAGACGCGCGCCGCTCGGCGGCATCGCCACCGCCGTCGCCGTTGGCAATTAATTAATTAATGGACGACCGATTAATTGGCATTCACGTCTCTCCTTAAAGCGCGCATCACGATCGCGACGTCTCCCGATCCCGCGCGTCGCCCGCAATCCTCCCTGCTCGTTCGCTCTTCTCCGCGCGCGCTCTTTCTCTCTCGCCGTGAATGCCGCTGGATGCCGCCGCCGCTGCTGCTGCTGACGTCGCTCTCTCTCTCCGCTCTCTCTCTCTCTCTTCGCTCTCTCTCTCTCTCCGCACTCTCTGTCGCGCTCTCTCGCGATTAAAACAGCGATTCGGTGCGCGTCGCGCCACCGTTCGCGACGCGGGCGCTCGGGGAGCCGTCGCCGTTTCGTGTCGCGATCTCCGCTTCTGCAGTGGCAGCAGCAGCAGCAGCCTCCAACGAGCGGCGAGAGACGGAGATGTGGGGACCAGGGAGGGAGGGGAGGGAGACAGAGAGAGAGAGAGGTTGGGGGAGGGAGGGAGGGAGATTGAGGGAGGGGGTAGAAGAGAAGAGGGCTGGAGGGAGGAGGGAGATTGAGGGAGAAGGTTGAAGGGAGAGAGGGAGATGGAGGGAGGAGGGAGAAGTCTGTAAGGCACCGGAGCGCGCCCGGCCAATCGGCACCGCACTCCTCTCCCCCTCCCTCCGTCACGATCAAGATCAGGGCTACAACGATCACCCCCCACCCCACAACTAATCTCACACAACCACCATCACCATCAACACCACCATCACCACCACCATCAACACCACCATCACCACCACCATCAACACCACTATCACCATCACCACCACCATCAACACCACCATCGCCACCATCAACATCACCATCAACACCACCATTAAACATCACCACCACCATCGCCACCATCAACATCACCATCAACACCACCATAAACATCACCACCACCACCATCGCCACCATCAACATCACCATCAACACCACCATAAACATCACCACCACCATCACCACCATTAACATCACCATCAACACCACCATTAACATCACCACCACCATCACCACCATCACCATCAACACCACCATAAACATCACCACCATCACCACCATCACCATCAACACCACCATAAACATCACCACCATCACCACCATCAACATCACCATGAACACCACCATAAACATCACCACCAACACCATCACCACTATCAACATCACCATCAACACCACCATAAACATGACCACCACCATCACCACCATCAACATCACCATCAACACCACCATTAACATCACCACCACCACTATCACCACCATCACCACCATCACCACCATCAACACCACCATTACCATCACCACCATCACCACCATCAACATCACCATAAACACTACCATAAACATCACCACCATCAACATCACCATCAACACCACCATAAACATCACCACCACCACCATCACCACCATCAACATCACCATCAACACCACCATAAACATCACCACCATCAACATCACCACCACCATCAACATCACCATCAACACCATCGTTAACATCACCACCACCATCACCATCATCAACATCACCACCACCACCATCAACATCACCATCAACACCACCGTTAACATCACCACCACCATCACCACCATCAACATCACCACCACCACCATCACCACCATCACCACCATCAACACCACCATCAACATCACCACCACCATCACCACCATCAACATCACCATCAACACCACCATAAACATCACCACCACCATCACCACCATCAACATCACCATCAACACCACCATCAACACCACCACCACCATCACCACCATCAACATCACCATCAACAACACCGTTAACATCACCACCACCACCATCAACATCACCACCACCACCATCACCACCATCAGCACCACCATAAACATCACCATCACCACCATCAACATCAACACCACCATAAACATCACCACCACCATCACCACCATGAACATCACCATCAACACCATCATCAACATCACCACCACCACCATCACCACCATCAACATCACCACCACCACCATAGCTACGACCACTTCCCCACTGCGCAGCCGAACCCCTCACAACAGCAACCATACCTCTCTCCCCCACGCTCTCTCCCCACGCTCTCTCCCCACGCTCTCTCCCCACGCTCTCTCCCCACGCTCTCTCCCCACGCTCTCTCCCCACGCTCTCTCCCCACGCTCTCTCCCCACGCTCTCTCCCCACGCTCTCTCCCCACGCTCTCTCCCCACGCTCTCTCCCCCACGCTCTCTCCCCACGCCCTCTCCCCACGCTCTCTCCCCCACGCTCTCTCCCCCACGCTCTCTCCCCACGCTCTCTCCCCACGCTCTCTCCCCCACGCTCTCTCCCCCACGCTCTCTCCCCACGCTCTCTCCCCCACGCTCTCTCCCCACGCTCTCTCCCCCACGCTCTCTCCCCCACGCTCTCTCCCCACGCTCTCTCCCCCACGCTCTCTCCCCACGCTCTCTCCCCACGCTCTCTCCCCCACGCTCTCTCCCCCACGCTCTCTCCCCACTCTCCCCTTCTCCTCTTACGCTTCCTCTTCGCTCTTCACGCTCTCCCCTCGCTCTCCATGCCCCCCTTCTCTCTGTGCTCTCCACGCGCTCTCCCTCTCTCTCCCCTCTCCCCCTATTCTCTCCCTCTCTCTCTCTCCCTCTCTACCCCTTGCGCTCCCTCCGGCTCCACGCTCTCCTCTCTCTCTTCTCTCTGCTGCCTTGTGAGGCGACAAAGCATCATCATCACGATCATCATCATCATCAGCAATAACACACCACCCATGTGTCGCTTCATCACCATCCGTATCATCATTATCAACAGAGTCAGCATGAGCACCATCCGCAAGACCAATATCATCAGCAGCAGGACCAATATTATCATCAGCAAAATCAATATCATTAACAGCAGGACCAATATCATCAGCAGCAGGACCAATATTATCAACAGCAGAACAAATATCATCAGCAGCAGGACCAATATCATCAGCAGCAAGGCCAATATCATCATCAGCAAGACCAATATAATCATCAGCAAGACCAATATCATCATCAGCAAGGCCAATATCATCAACAGCAAGACCAATATTATCAACAGCAAGACCAATATCATCAGCAGCAGGACCAATATTATCAGCAGCAGGACCAATATTATCATCAGCAAGACCAATATTATCAACAGCACGACCAATATCTTCAGCAGCAGGACCAATATCATCATCAGCAGGACCAATATTATCATCAGCAAGACCAATATCATCAACAGCACGACCAATATCATCAGTAGCAGGACCAATATTATCATCAGCAGGACCAATATCATCAGCAGCAGGACCAATATTATCATCAGCAAGACCAATATCATCAACAGCACGACCAATATCATCAGCAGCAGGACCAATATTATCATCAGCAGGACCAATATCATCATCAGCAGGACCAATATTATCAACAACAATACCAATATCATCAGCAGCAGGACCAATATCATCAACAGCACGACCAATATCATCATCAGCAGGACCAATATCATCAACAGCACGATCAATATCATCATCATCAGCAGCGGGAGTCGACAATAATCGTCATCAAAATGCATGTCATTATAATGAGGTAGCGTCAAAATCATTATCCATATCATTATCATCAGCAGAACCTCAATATCGTCAGCAGCACCAATATCATCAGCAGCAGCATAATTGTAAGCTTACCGTCATCATAACCATCATTATCATCATTTACACCACTTTGCTTCTCACCCTGAACCTCATCACCCCCGCCCCTCCCCCCACCCCTTCCCCCCGCCCTCTGTACACACAACCCCCCATCCCTACCCGCCTCGCTCAGCCTCGCTCGTCTCTCCACGCCGCGACTCTCCACGCCGCCACCAGAGGGCGCAGGGGGGCGAGGGCGTCTGGGGGAGGGGGGGGGGAGGAGCTCGCGCTGGGTTCATCGTGGCCATCCTGGTGGAGTTGTTTTTTTCTTTCATTGCTATGCAGAAGGGTCATTGCCTGAAACGTCTCCTGCTGCTACATATTTCCCCAATTTAAGGCCGCAGCGCTACTCTTGACACGGAACGGGTCGAGGTGGGTTCGTAGATGGTGCTCTGAGCATCGCCACTGCGAGCACAGTATCAGCAGCACCACCAGCAGCATCATCATCAGCAGCAGCATCATCGTCATCAGCATCATCATCAGCATCATCAGCAGCAGCATCATCAGCAGCAGCATCATCAGCAGCAGCATCATTATCATCAGCAGCAGCATCATCAGCAGCAGCATCATCGTCAGCAGCATCATCAGCATCATCATCAGCAGCAGCAGCAGCATCATCATGAGCAGCATCATTATCAGCAGCAGCAGCAGCATCAGCAGGGACCACCTTGGCGCGGAGGGAGCGGCAGGCGGAGGGAGGGAACGCGAATATCTCCCACAGGCATCGAGCACCGAGCGTGGTGCAGTACGGCTCAAACGAGCACACAACCCACACGGCTCGGGGGACTTCATAATCCAGCAGTGGCTTGGCACACGGTTTGTGCACTGTTGTATTATATTAATAATAGTGACTGTTATTATTGTTGTAACATCCAGGTTACATTTCCCACGGATAAATTTTGGCGCCCAGCCACTTGCATCTCGCCTCTCCCCAAACCGAGAGGCTCCAGGGAGTCCACGTACCGCGCCTTCGTGAACCCGCGCGCATCTCCCCCCCCCCCCACCCCCTCTCTCTCGTAGGGTGATAACACTGGCGCCTCGCAGCAAGAAGCGTTCGAGTTCAATTCCCGACTCGGGTGCCCTTTTTCTGCGTGGAGTTTCTACGTCTCTCCCTCTCCCTCTGCCCCGTGATCCGCATGGGGTTTTCTCCGGGTTGTCCGGTTTCCAAAAACACAAGGAAGACTGTTGGGGCAAGTGTTGTAAGCGAGGGTTGCCGGGTTCGACACACAACGCGCTAACCACTGTGCCACCGCTCCCCGGTTTCCTCACACACACGCACGCGCATACAATGCAACTGGCATTGGCCAAAAACATCCCAATGTTGAAAAATGACCTTCAGATTACTCAATTGTGATCACACACAGCAGCAGCCGCAGCAACATCGCCCGTCCCCTCCTGTGACAAGCTGACAGGACTCTCCTAAAACGAGTCTTGTCTGCGTGAACCAATCCGCTCTAGCGACTATTGTACCCGTGGCACAGTGCGGAAAGAGGAGTAGAGTCAAAGATAATGAAGATGAAGAAGAAGAACGGGAGAGGGATGAAGAGAAGTGAAAAGAGCTTCATAGCTCATCGGTTTCCTGCAGTCTTAATATAGATTCCGAGATAAAGAATGGGGAATGGGAGGAAATGGATGGGAAAGGAATGGAAACACGGGAGCAGAGGGGTTGGGAGAGGTGAGGTGAGGATCTGGAGGAAGAGGCCGCAATCAGGGCCTCGACGCTGCTGCACGGAGATGGATCAGCGTCTGTTTTAAAAGGGGGCGGGGAAAGGGGAGGGATTCAGAGTGTGGGGGGGGGGGCTACACAGGAGTCGCATGATTTACGGAGGCTTGGGCTGGTTTAGATGGCTCTCGTTCGTTCATCCAGAATATCCTCAGGGAGTCTCAAGAGCAGTGTTGTCTCGGAGGGTCCCTGCTTTGGGAGGGTGGGTCACTTCACGCTTCGTGACAGGGAGTCTTGTTTCGTGTGTGCGTGAGAGACACGGAGAACCCGAAGGAAACCCACCACGCACACGAGGGGACAAGCACCCAAAGGCTCCGCCAACCACATAATAGGTGCTGGCTAAGAGCACTTTCCCCTACAGTCTGATGAAAGCTATACGGGGGATATTTGCCTTTGTGTGTGGAATTGTAGTGGGCATCGGTAGTGCAGTGGTCAGCACTGCAACGAAGCCTGTTCCATTCCCGATCATAGCTAAGAGCAGTGGCGAATATCTGAACCCGTCCTGGGCCTTCCTTATGTCGACTCAGCCTTAAATGAGTACCGACAAAGCCGATCGGGCGTGGTGTTGGCCACTTCACCCCCGCGTGTGCCATTCCGGCCTTAATAGGTGCTCGCTAACAACACTTGCTATCACAGTCTGTTTAAGGCTATATGGGGGAATCTTTGTTTGTGTAACGCCAAGTATATCCGACCAGGTGACTCGGCCGCTCGCGATCGGAAGCTTGCGAGTTCAAATCCTGGTTGGATGGGTTAACTCGCCTCATCATCCCTCCGGGGTCGATAAAACGAGTACTACTTGGTGGGTACGTCAGCAGCAGTGGTCCTTATGAATTCCCTCGCGTCCACCACATGAACGTCAACAGGACATGACCACCGCCTCAATGCTCATTCTGAGCAGGGAATCACTTTGAATGTTTAATACTACGTCTGAGTTCGACTCCCGTCCCGGATTGCGAGTTTCTGTGCGGCGTGCAGGGCATAATGTTTGCTCTCAGCGCCGCAGATTAAATCCCACGCGCGTTGCATCACTCGCAGCCGAATTAAAATTAAAATAGATGTTTATTTTACGTATATTCCCCTCTCTTTCTGAAAGCAAATAAAAGAATACGTAATTCACGCGCATTGATCGGGTCAAACATTGTGTATTTATCTCTGGATCCTTTGAAGATTAAGCCCACGGTCTGATCAGATCTCAGCTAAGCAGGGTTGAGCCTGGATAATGCTTGGATGGGCGACCACCCTGCAAATTACGGATTTTCGTAGGCCATGCAGCATCACCCATTGTTGAAGTGTACAATGCTCTCACATCTATTTATGTCCTCACCTTATCCAACATGCACTGACGAACGTGGTGAAATATGGTCAAATAACCCCGATGACACAGGAGCTTCAGCACCAGGGACAACGGCTTCAGCACCAAGGACAGCGGCTTCAGGACCAGAGACAGCGGCTTGAGGACCAGAGACAGCGGCTTCAGCACCAGGGACAGCGGCTTCAGAACCAAGGACAGCGGCTTCAGGACCAGAGACAGCGGCTTCAGAACCAGGGACAGCAGCTTCAGGACCAGAGACAGCGGCTTGAGGACAAGAGACAGCGGTTTTAGGACCAGAGACAGTGGCTTCAGCACCAGGGACAGCGGCTTCAGGACCAGGGACAGCGGCTTCAGCACCAGGGACAGCGGCTTCAGGACCAGAGACAGCGGCTTGAGGACCAGAGACAGCGGCTTCAGAACCAAGGACAGTGGCTTCAGCACCAGAGACAGCGGCTTCAGCACCAAGGACAGCGGCTTCAGGACCAGAGACAGCGGCTTCAGGACCAGGGACAGCGGCTTGAGGACCAGAGACAGCGGTTTTAGGACCAGAGACAGCGGCTTCAGGACCAGGGACAGCGGCTTCAGGACCAGGGACAGCGGCTTCAGCACCAGGGACAGCGGCTTCAGCACCAAGGACAGCGGCTTCAGGACCAGAGACAGCGGCTTCAGGACCAAGGACAGCGGCTTGAGGACCAGAGACAGCGGTTTTAGGACCAGAGACAGCGGCTTCAGGACCAGGGACAGCGGCTTCAGCACCAGAGACAGCGGCTTCAGGACCAGGGACAGCGGCTCGCCTTAGGTCTCTGAGCTAATCAGAGCGAGGAGAGCCAATTAACTTTTCTGACATAAGACAAAGATCCCCCGTATAGCATTAATATACTTTTGAGGCACGTACAAGCACCTATGAAGACCCGTTCAGTACACGAGGGAGTGGGTGTCTAGCACCACGCCCGGTCCATAGCGGTGATGTTTACACACCACACCAGGTACTCATTTGAAGCTGTGTCGACCCAGGGTAGACCCAGGACCGGCTGAGATAATCGTCACTGGTGTTGGCCGTGAGTGGAAACTGAATTCGAGTTCGTAGCACAGTGGGCTAACCACTGCGCCATCGCTCTCCCCCCCCCGCCCCGCCCCCTCCCCCCCAAACAAAGACAAAGATCCCCCGTGTAGCCATAATAGACTGCTGGGGCAAGCGCTGTTAGCGAGCACCTATTAAGGCCGGCAGGGCGCACGAGGGGGTGGCTGTGTTGTTTAATCTGAAGGGAGTCTATGCATAAGGAATGAGATGCATATGTAAATAAGATCTGGATTGTTTATTGTTGATTGTTTGTTTGTTGTTGTTGTTGACGAGGGTGCACGTAGCTCCCACAGTCTCGCAAGAGGGATTAACAGCTCCAGGACGGGAGAACGCGATATATTGGAACAAATGCAAAGGTACAAATCCTCCATGTATCCTTTAACAGACTGTTTGGACAAGTGCTGTTGTTAGTGAGCATCTATTAAGACCGGGAGAGCACTCGAGGGGGTGGGTGACCAAGTGCACACCCGGCTGCCTTTGTCTTCTCTACATTGATGTTAACACCGCACTAGGAACTAATTTAAGGCTGAGTCGAACTAGGGGAGACCCAGAACCGGTTCAGATATTCTTCATCGATGTTGGCTGTGAACGGGAATCGAACTCGGATCACCGGGTTAGGAGAGCAGGTAGTACTGGTGCATGTTGAACTTCTTTCACACCATACGTAGCCAACCGTGCTAATAGGAACACAGAAAACTCACACATTGGTGTGTACACACACACACACGTGTCTACACTATACAGTATATATACGCACAAGAGTGTGTATATACAAATATAAATACACAAATAGCACAAAACAACCCCCAGAAATCCATGCAAGTATTATTAGCGAAACGATGGTAATGATGATGACGGTGATGATGATGATGGTGTTGGTGATTAGAGTGATGAGGATGATGGTGATGACTGTTGTGGTGATGATTGTTAATGCTAATGCTTACGATGGTGATGGTGACGGTAATGGCGATGATGGTGAGGATGGTACTCTGCACTGATAATGATGGCCATGATGATGGTGAGTTGATCATAATCGTGATGATGTTGATGCTGACAGTGATGATGGTAATGATGATTACGATTATAATGATGATGATAGCGATGTGATTGATGATGGTAGTGAAGTTGATTGCGTTGATGGTGTGTTTGCGTGCTGTGTGTCGTGTCTCTCTTTGGTGAGTGATCTGTGGTGAGCACCCTGTGGTGAGTGCTCTTTGGTGAGTTCTCTGTGGTGAGTTCTCTGTGGTGAGCACCCTGTGGGCGAGCGCCCTGTGGTGAGCACCCTGTGGGTGAGCGCCCTGTGGTGAGCACCGTGTGGTGAGCGCTCTCTGGTGAGTGCTCTGTGGTGAGCGCCTTGTGGTGAGCACCGTGTGGTGAGTGCTCTGTGGTGAGCGCCTTGTGGTGAGCACCGTGTGGTGAGTGCTCTGTGGTGAGCGCCTTGTGGTGAGCACCGTGTGGTGAGTGCTGTGTGGTGAGTGCTCTGTGGTGAGCACCGTGTGGTGAATGCTCTGTGGTGAGCACCATGTGGTGAGCGCCCTGAGCGTTGCGTGCGCCGAGTCAGAGCCGGGCGACTCGGGGAGGGTGAGTGGGTGAGTGCGTGGTGGAGGGATGTTTGTTGATGGGTCAGGCGCGTGTGGTGAGTGGAGTGTGCCGCTTCCCGTAACCGTGACTTTCAGCCCGCTTGACCGCTGTCCAGTTAACGAAGCTCCCAGCACCCCCCACCCCACCCCACCCCTCCCCTCCCCGTGTATTGTAGCCAGAGGTGCCCCGCGACTCGTCTCGGGAGCATAGCTACGAGAGGGAAAAGACCCGGGCACGACCGCCGGAACGCATCACTCGCGTGCACCGCTCCCACGGACGTCCCTGCGACTTCTGTCCGAGTCGTCCGAGCCAACGAGGTGGACGATATCGCCAGGATACCTCCCGCTTCGATAGTAAAGCACGCGAGCCAAACGATCGATCGATCAATCCGCATAATCGCTCGCTAAACACCCCGGTTCTTGTCCCCAATTAGCCGCGTCCCCGGCCTCTCTGCACTCACTAATTGCGCATTTGCATAGCCTCGTTCATTCACTTACATGAGCAGGTAGTAAGCGGATTATGATGATAATGATGTTTGTAATGACAAGGGGTGATGGTGGTAATGATGGTGAAGCAATTCGATGGTGACGGTGGTGGTGACGAAGGCCACGATGGTGGTAATTAACCGTCGTGCTTTGCGTGTGATCGAGCTCCCTCCTCTTCGCCGGTGCGCGTCTCCTCACGTGAGCACAATTTAGAAAGTGCATCCCCCAGTGGCAGCTGCCCCTGTGCGGCGTGAGGGTGGCTCCGCGCCTGGCCAGACAACGTTCCCCGTAAGTCAGCCAGTAGGGGGGCGGACGATTGCAGTGATTCCCAATTGAGTCATTTTCGAACACGGCAATTTTTTGTTTACTTGTGTAGTGAGTCCAACTGAGTCGCAGACGTTATTCTTTAGAGGCAACACATTTATTTAACATCAACACGTTAACACAAAGGGGTAACTGCCCCTTTACCAGATACAGCCTAGGGTGGTGACTACCCAGCTAACTACGCTATACGTAGGAGTTACAGCTACGAAGGGTCGGACCTTTACTCGGGTCCCCGACCACGTGTTGATGCCTCGTAGGACGTAGAGCTTCCAGCTTGTAGACGTAGGGCTTCCAGCTTGTCAAATGCAGCGACCCCTGTCCCTCTCAGGGACCCACCTTATATCCTCCCGGGTCGGGGCCACTCCGCCCTCGGCCCCGCCCGCCTTCTCGAGCATTCTAGCTCCCTCTCGATCCCCCTCGAGAGCTCTCCCCGGACACGTGATCACCCCTAGCCCCCCCCACCTGGGGCCTTCTCTGTGGACACTCCAGATCACGTGTCTACGGGGTCAACCAGAGTGCCATGAGTCGGGGCAACCCTGCCCCTGGGCTGACACTCTCCCGCTCCCCCTTGTGGGAGCCCGCACTGCACGCTATGCGTGGTGCCCACGCTATCCCAGCGCACACCAAGCCCCGCTAGGGCTGGTACTACACCCGCCGTGCTGTGCTAGAGCCGGCATCACACAACAACCCACACGGTGCTGTCCGCGATGTAGGGGCATCGCACGCCACGGCCCTCCCGGGCCGGCACCATACAGTGACATCCTTGATGTCACTACATCACCCCCCCCCCACCCCTTCGTAGCTTTCAGCTGTCCCGGCCCGGCTATCAACTCCCAGGATCAGCCAATAACCGCCACGACTCAACGAGCGCGACAAGCAACCGGCAACATGGGAGCGTGTGTGTAAGGGGATCACGAAATACGAGTCTTTGAGCGAGTCCGTGATGCCGGGCCCCTAGGGGGGGTGGGCTTGCTCACCCTGGAGGTCCCGGGGGGAATGTGCCAATGTTCCGCCGAACCCGGCTCTTCACGGAGAGCAGTAGGTCGGGTCGACGGATCCTCCGCGCACGAAGCCTGCGGAGACGGCATGCGCGGCTGCTCGGGAGACGTCAGTCGCGCAGCACCTGGGGTCGGAATAGAATCGCCCCGGTGAGGACCAAACTTTAGCGGGCACACACCCCAGTTCGGCAGACACACTCGACACACGGCGCCTGCGATGTGGAGATGAAACGAATTCGCGCGGCGCGATAAGCGGTTTCAGGCGAGAGGGATGCACGAACCAACTCCACCGACCCTCCGTAGCCCCCAAATCGTGCGGCTTCCTCAAGCGGAGGGGAACCAACATATGCGTGCCGGGAGGGATTCTTACCGTTCGGCGCGCGAACGCCTGCATTGTAGCGTTAGCCGTACACAAGCGGGTTAGGGAAGGCAAAAATGCCAAACAACGGCCGGATGGAAATTCCAAACGGACCCAGTCAATGCGGATTACCAAAGGCATCCTACCAAGGAAATCGGTTCCAAGTAAACATGGAACAGCCAGAGATGTGGAGACAAGAATGTATCCCGACAATTTAACGTCAGCGACGCGCACCTCGGCCATTATCCGACCGATGATACCCAATGAGCCGCCATTAGCGGCGAAAGATGGTGCATCAACCGAGTCTAGAACCCAACACTTATTAGACAAAATATTGTAAATCAACTCCGAGATGATAGTTGCCAACGCACCCGTGTCGACTAGCTTCCTTATTCCCACACCCTCAATGAACCCGAGCACGGCAGATGAAACCGCAGCCGTAGCAACCACTCGATGGGCCAGCTCCGACGAATGATCCGGTCGAAGCTGACGAACTCTCCGATTGCGCATAGGACCCCCCCGTACTGACGCGCACCCGGGACGTGAACCGAAACGTCTAGATGGGTGAGGTGAGGCCAGGGGTCGAGTGTGGAGTGCGTTGCGACTCGCCTTAGGGTGTAGGGAAGCGTAGGATGGCGGTGATGCTGCAAGGCGCCGTCATGGTACGCGGCAGCCCAATGACACGTGCCCCGGCAGGCCACAATTGTAGCAGGTAACACAGCCGCCTCCGGAACGAGACAACGACCTTGGCCGCCGCTGCTCGTCCATCTGCCGTGTGCCATCGCCACGCCGGTCGCCCCCACCCCAAGTCGACGCACATGCCGAAAGGGGCTCCGCTCCATCAGGTGGCCCCGGCTACGGGCGGGACACGGCACACGTCACCTGCGCCCTGTCCCGTTGTAGAAGTAGCTGGGCTTGGATGCACTTAGCGACCTTGAGAGATGAGACGCCATCATCTTCGGCCGGAAGAATGGTGTGGAGCGTTTTCGCCAAGGCCAGCAGCCTCTCGAGGCCCAACGTGTCGATTCCATCGTGGTCCATTTTAGGGAAGGCGGCTTTCGCTAGCGCCAAAAGCGTGCTACGGAAGGCGAGGGCCGACTCGGTCTCCCCCTTCCGCTGCGTGGTGAACCTGTGGCGCGTGTCTGCCAGAGGCTCGTAGACAGCTACCTTCCGGTCGACAATGGTAGCCACGAACTCTTTAATAAAGGGAAGCCGACGTCGGAGAGCCAGGATGTCCATCGGCGCAGACGGTGCGTCTTCAATTTTGGCGGGCTGCGCGCTCCGCGCCGGTGACAAAATGGCGGCCGAATGCGCGAGCTGCGCCGCCGAGTTTCCCACCTGCTGCGAAATGGCGGTGGAGTCGTCGTCCGAGAGCGGCATCGCCCTTCCCTCCTTCACCGGCGAGACCGTGGGACTGATCTCCGTGAGGAGCGAAGCCGCAGCGTGGAGGAGCTCCGCGAGGCGACTGTGCGCCTCCCGGAGGGTCGCCTCCGCCGACGGCGAAGCGTCGAGTGCCCGGATTGTGCCCTGCTCCGCTGGCAGCGTCTCCCCCGCATCCTCTGGAGCTGTAGGCGGTGCGAGGTCCTCGTCCTCGCTGTCCGACGTCCTGGTACGTGGTCTGCGATGAGTAGACATAGTCCACTGCTAGCTGTATAGACTCGCATGTTGGCCACTTCCAACACCAGTTGTAGTGAGTCCAACTGAGTCGCAGACGTTATTCTTTAGAGGCAACACATTTATTTAACATCAACACGTTAACACAAAGGGGTAACTGCCCCCTTTACCAGATACAGCCTAGGGTAGTGACCACCCAGCTAACTACACTCTACGTAGGAGTTACAGCTATGAAGGGTCGGACCCTCACTCGGGTCCCCTACCACGTGTTGATGCCTCGTAGGACGTAGGGCTTCCAGCTTGTCGAATGCAGCGACTCCGGCCCCTCTCAGGGACCCACCTTATATCCTCCCGGGTCGGGGCCGCTCCGCCCTCGGCCCCGTCTGCCTTCTAGAGCGTTCTAGCTCCCTCTCGATGCCCCTCGAGAGCTCTCCCGGACACGTGATCACCCCCTAGCCCCCTCCACCTGGGGCCTTCTCTGTGGACACTCCGGATCACGTGTCTACGGGGTCAACCAGAGTGCCATGACTCAGGGCAACCCTGCCCCTGGGCTGACACTCTCCCACTTCCCCTTGTGGGAGCCCCCACTGCACGCTATGCGTGGTGCCCGCGCTATTCCAGTGCTCACCAAGCCCCGCTATGGCTGGTACTACACCCGCCCACGGGGTGTACGCGATGACGGTGCATCGCACGCTGTGCTGTGCTAAAGCCGGCATCACACAGCAACCCACCCGGTGCTGTCCGCGATATAGAGACATCGCACGCCACGGCCCTCCCAGGCCGGCACCATACAGTGACATCCTTGATATCACTACACTTGGACCGTGACACCGGCACACACACGATGGGCCAACTCTTGCGGAATGACGCCGCGGGCGTCCTTAACGTCCGCTGTGATAGCGGGCAGGGGCGTAGACATTCGCTTTCGCGGATAATCCTCCCGCCAGTAGTCATCGGGGCTTCCGCTGGGCTCGAACCGGAAACCTCTCTGCAACAACCAGCGGCGGACGCACGATGCGCGGTGGCGCAGCCCCGTGATGGCGATGATGGCGATGGAGGGGCTCGTTGCCGCTGCAGCTGCTGCTACTGATGATGATGATTTTGATCGATGATGATGATGATTTTGACGTTTTTACTGCTGCTGATGCTGTTCGTTTATTATCAATGGGTATTTACGATCCGGAGGGAAGCAGTGACGCAAGTGGTTCACCCACTGCGCCATGAACCCAGCAGCCGCGGTTTGACTCTCGACCGCGGACCGACATCAGGGGGCAAACGATCTCTGAACCGGTCCTAGACCGCTGCCCCCCCCCCCCCTCTAATCACCAACACGCACTGACCAGCGCGGTGAAGTATGATCAAACAACCCCCATGACAATCACGGCGTGTATCGTCATCGCCATGAACCCTGCAACACCTGAGACGGATCGTGGCTATGTCTGTGTGAGCGAAACGAGGAGCGGTTCACGCGATGCGAGTGAACGGTTGGATGGATTTGTTCGATACAGCGGTAAAAGACATCCGCGTAAGTTCCCGCGAGTCGAGGGGATTTAAGCCCCGTGCAGTCAAATCGATCCCGCGATCCGCTTCCTGTGAATTATTCACCGCGATGAATATTAACGCGTTCATTACAGACGCGAGGCGGGGAGGGGTTAGACTGGGGGGCTGGGGGGAGGGAGCAGAGGGGGGTCTGGTAGACGGGAGGAGGAGAAGGAGAGCTGAGATTGGAGGGTGGCGGTGGGTGGAGTGGAAAGAGGGCGTGCAGGTGGGGTGCCAGGAGAGATGAGAGAGGATGAGGACATTAGGGGGGTCCGCGACCACCCCCCCTCCCTTCCCCCCACAATCTCCCACCTCTCTCAGAGTAACAACTTCAGGTTCAATTCTCATTCCTCCGTACAGCCCCCCATCTCATCGCACAAATCCCCCCCTTCTGTCATGCGCCCCCCCCCGCCCGTCCCCTGCCCGCGTCTCCCCCCCCCCCCCCCGCTCCCTTCCCGCCTCCACTCCCAGCCACGTGGCGGAGTGCGCGGTAATTGCTGTCCAATTAAGCGGCGCGCGCGCCTTCTTAAACATCCACACGGGAGTCATTACGGAGCGAGCTGACACGGGCTGGGCGAGACATCCCCCTGTCCCCCCCCCACCACCCAACCACTGATTCCACCCAGCCCCCCCTTCCCCCCCCGCCCCTTCATCCCCCCCCCACTTCATCCCCCCCCCCCCACTTCATCCCCCCCATCTCCACCCATTCAGCACCGCCCCCCTTGCCGCGCGTTCTTTCAGCCCCTCCCAGCCTCGAGTCGAAGCTCCGCGGCTTTAATTTCCCTAGCGAGGCGCGGGATAGAAAGGTTATCGCTTACCGACGAGGGGGGGGGGGGGTGGGGCGGGGGATCAACACTGCCCCCCCCCTCCGCAACTCCCTCCCTACTCCTCCCCCCACCCACCCGCCTTGCTACGTCGCCACCCCCCCCCCGGGGCAGTTCTGTTGTCTAAACCCCCCCGGCGCAGTTCCCGGCTCTCACCATCGTACAGGAGAAGAACAGCGGTGGGGCGGGAGAACGCGAGAGAGTCGAGACAAAGACAAAGATTCCATCCCACATCCCCCCGCCACCCCCCCCCCCATCCCCCCCCCCATGTAGTATTTTTTGCAGGCTGCTTGGGGCCACAATCCACGCCCGGCCGCCTTTGTCTCCCCAATGGTGAGCCGCACCAGGTGGCGCAAGATCGGTTCAAAGACGTGTACAGTGTTCGCCACTGATGTTGGCCGTGACTGCGAATCGATCTCGGGTCACCGGGGTTTCGGAGCGCAGTGCGCTAACCACTGCACCACCGCTCCCCTAAGAACACACACACGTATGTACACACTAACATACATGTACAGAGCTATTGTCACTGCTGGATCAAGAACGCCTTGCTACATCCGGTGCGGGTCCTGAGAGATATTTGACCATACTTCACAACGCTGCCCAGTGACGGTTGGTGAAGCCGGGGAGCATAGACGTGACAGCAGCACAGTGCAACACAGCAACAGGTGCTACTGAACTGCCCTCTGCTGCCCACAACGTAGTCCCACAGCAGCCTATGACACCTATTATGCATTGGTGGTGGTCGTCCATCCATACGCTATCCAGGCGAATTCCCTGCTTAGCTGTCCTATGCGTGTGGTCACACAAAGACAAAGATCTCCCGTATAGCCTGAACAGACTGTTGGGGCAAGTGCTGCTAGCGAGCAGCACCTATGAAGGCCGGAACGGCACACGAGGGGGTGGGTGGCCAGCACCACGCCCGACCGCCTTTGTCTCCCCAGTGGCGATGTTCACACACCACACCAGGTGCTCATTTGAGGCTGAGTCGACCTAGGGAAGGCCCAGGACCGGTTAAAATAAACGTCACTGGTGTTGTCCGTGAGCGGGAATCGAACCCGGGTGGCCAGGTTCGTAGCGCAGTGCGCCAACCACTCCACTACCGCTCCCCACACACGCGCACACACCGGCAAACAGGCTCAGGATATGAATCAATAACACGTCTTACATAATACAACACATTTAGGCACATTTAAAACGGCAATGAATCTCCCTCGAAAGTTATAAATAGACGTCGCGTGTTTGTGAAGATGCGCTTGAGGACTCGGCGTCAGAACTGGCGCTAGTGCCCGCACCGACCACGTTCCACGCCAAGCGGCCAGCTACAGCCAGCAGTGTTCGTCTGTGGTGAGTCCATGGGTCGCCGCGTGAATAGGATATGGTGCACCCTGTGGGTGTACACTTGATTTGTGTATCTAGTGGAGAGCGGTGGTGTGGCGGTTAGCTCACTGCGCTACGAACCCAGTGACCCGAATTAGACCAGCATCGGTGATGAATGTCTGAACCGGTCCTGGGCCTCCCCTAGGTCGAATCAGCCTTAAATGAGTACCTCTTGGTGCGATGTGTAATCATCGCCACTGGGGAGACAAAGGCGGCCGTGCGTGGTGCTGGCCACCCACACCCCCTCGTGTGTTGTGCCGGCCTTCTTAGGTGCTCTCTAACAGCACTTGTCGCAAGAGTCTGCTAAGGCTACACGGGGGGATCTCTGTATTTGTGTAGATGTAATTGCATCAATTTTGAACACAATTGTTAAGCGCAGGTCCAAAGTGACCAACGCGTCAAACGGTCAGCAACAAACGGGGTGATGTAATAGTTGTCATAGATAAGAGAGTGGAGCAGTGCGAGTGAAGAAGCAGAAAAATAAGTCTGGCGGGTGAGAGGGCGAGGAGTGGGGGAGTGGGAGGGTGAGTGGGGATGGGTGCGTGAGCGAGTGGGTGGGTGAATTATTGAGTGTGTTGCTGTGACCTGCAGTGTGTTGATTGAACACAGGCGTGTCAATGTTACGGCGGTGATGTTATTATGATGTCGTGGTTATGACGTTGATTGTCATTGTTGCCGCTGTCGTTGTTTTGGTGGTGATTGCATTTATTCTGATTGTTGTTCTTGTTATTTTTTCCCGGTGTTTACCCAGGAAAGGTTTCAGTGATTCTCAAGACTCTTCTTCAAGAGGGTCCTGCCAGGCTGTCTCTCGAATGGGGGCGATCCTGCTGCTCTGCGTGTGATCCCAAGTTGAGTCAATTGCAGATCATTTTTCAGCACTGGGATTTTTGGCCAATCACAGTTCCATTTCGCGGTGAGTCATTCCTTTATTTGAATCGTGTTAAACCATGATGAGTCGCGATAACTGCGTGGATGTCATTGCAGTGGCAGTCGTGGTGTCGCTGCTGTCACTGCTGCTGCTGTTGTCAGTGGTACACAAACAACAACAGACAACAACTCAACACATTCCTCAATATCAACACCGTGCGGCCTCCAAAGGAAAAATTTGACATAGAACGTTATGGCAAATTATCCCTCCTTTTATGTCCTTTCTGAAGAAGGCACATTGCTAAAAACGTCGGCTATTTTTTTTGTTAATGCCACACACGCGCACGCGCAGAGAGAGGATTGTTTACGAATGCGTTTGAGTATTTTGTTTGTTGTACTATTATCGCGGCTGTAGTTATTGTTGCCGTAGTAGTGGCTGTTGTTTGTTGTTGTTGTTGTGGTGGTGGTGGTGGCACTGTTGATATGAATTATAATTCGCTGCTCGCTTCGTGTCGCGTGGCGCAGAGGAAAGGGCACGGGGAGATGAATGCAGGACCCGACGCGCAATAATGAAGCTTGGGGGGGCGGAGGGAGTGGGGGGCCAGGGGTGGGGGGGGGGCACGTGCGGGGGAGAGAGAGTCCGAAGAGAGAGGAAATGAGAGATGGAAGGGACTGAGAGATAAGGGAGCGGAGGAAAGGGAAGAGTGAATGTGTGTCCATGTGCAGCCCCTTGCGCCGATATCAACGCATCAAGAGTGGCAGTGATTTCCTGCTCACGTGAGCGTGCAGAAGGCCGAGGCATTGGGGCTTATCTCCTGTTCACGGTCCTGCAGCGACAGTGGTGGGAATTCCACGTTTCTATGGCGGGGGGTGGGGGGGGGATCAAGTGGTAGAACAGCCGCTGTTGACTCCAGGGGGGTGATGTGCTGAGTCAACTTCTCCCCCCTCCCTAACCGCGATGCGAACTCGCGACCTTCCGACTTTGAGTTGATAATACCAATGATGCAGATTCTTAACACCCTTCACTCCACTGCTGGATGAAGGCCTCCCCACGCCGTGCGGGTCTAGGATGGGGGGTTATTTCACCATACTTCACCATGCTGGTCAATGCGAATTAGTGAATGCGGGGAGCATAGACATTGGAGGATATAAGTACAGTACAACAATGGACTGTGCTGCATTGCCCTTTGTTCACGTGGCGGCAGCCTATAACACCTGTTATGCATGGTAGTGGTCGCCTATCCAAGCGCTGTCCAGGCTCAAGCCTCCAACATGTGACCAGATCGGAAGAATTGCGGATGTCCGTAGACAAACGCAGAAGAGCACCTCGTGACTATGCTGGCATAGAAGTGCGGTACAACAATGGGACGTGCCGCACTGCCTTCTGCGAGTTGCTGTGCTCAACGACTTCTCGGAAGCGGCTTAAAACAATGTAGTTGCGGGCCGTGTACAACGAAAGTCGCGGTGTGTTTCCAGCCGGCGGGGGCTGCACCGTGTGCCACCCCTTGTCTCTCCAGCCTCACCCACCCAGCCACCCACTCTCTCCTTTCCCGCCAACCCACCCAGCCACGCTCGCACGCCGCTTAAATTGGCCGCGTGTTAATAATTGAACAGGAGGAGGGGAGGAGTGCAAGCTGGGCAAACCGAGCCGTTAAGGGAGCCTCGGTTACGCAGTGCAGCGTCAGCAGCAGCAGCGTCAATACCTGCAGCTTCAGCAGCATCATATTCATCATGAGCAGCAGGAGCAGTAGCACCATCAGCTGAATCGCACCACAATTACCATTGTCATCATCATCCCCATCATCATCCGTGCAACAGCAACATCGTCACCGTCATTTTAGCCGTCATCATCATCATCACCACCAGCAGCAGTCGCAGTAACGGCATGAAATTCATCATAACAATCACCAGCAGAAGTGGCAGCACCGTAATCATCATCATTGTCATCAGCAGCAGCATCATAACCATCATCATAAGCATCATTATTATCATCACCATCTCCATCAGCAGCAGCATCAGCAGGAGCTGCAGTAGTAGCAGCAGCGTAAGCAGTAGCAGCATCAGCAGTAACAGCAGCATCATATTCATCATTATCAGCAGGAGTGCAGCGATGGGAGCTAGGGGTGGGGGTTGCGGGGTGAGGGATGTTGAGGGATATGAGGGGGCCTGGTGGAGGGGTACCCTAGATTGTGGGCCCCTAGCATCGCTCAGGGGTCCCTGATTACCCCAGTTAAACGTTGTCACTTGGGGGTTCCATGCTCAATCTCAGCAGCGGCGTGTCCCTGCAGTTACCCAGGGAGATCATAACCGATCAATCACCAATCAATCGTCCAATCAATCTACCAATCAACCCGCCAACCGATCAATCAGCCAATCAAACAATCGTCCAACCAAGCAGCGGCGATGTTGATACACCGCCCCGGGGTGCTCATTTGAGACTGAGTCGACGGAGGACGAGCGAGGCCCAGGACCGGCGCAGATAATTACCGTCACTGCGCGCACGCACTCACGCAGACTCGCACAGAGACTCGCACTGGAGAAGGGGGAATCCGGAGTGACTTCTGGTAGGATGAAGGGGCGGGGCGGGGCGGGGCAGGGCGGGGCACCCACCCCCCTCCACCCCCCTCCACCCCCCTCCCCTCCTCCCTCCCGACTCGCATTAATTGCTCCCGCAGGGTCCATCCGTCCCCCGTCAGTGACAGCGGCGTCTTGTTGTGGCGGCGCGCGTCAATAGAAACACGGGGACAGGGGGGGTGGAGGTGGGTGGTGGGTGGCCCTCACTCGCAGAGTCTGTGTGAGTGGTTCTGTATGTGTGAGTGGTTCTGTGTGTGAGTGGTTCTGTGTGTGGGGGTGATTCTGTGTGTGTGGGGGTGATTCTGTGTGTGTGAGTGGTGTGTGTGAGTGGTGTGTGTGTGAGTGGTTATGTGCGTGGGGGTGATTCTGTGTGTGTGGGGGTGATTCTGTGTGTGTGAGTTGTGTGTGTGAGTGGTGTGTGTGGTTATGTGCGTGGGGGTTATTCTGTGTGAGTGGTTCTGTGTGTAAGTGGTTCTGTGTGTGGGGGTGATTCTGTGTGTGAGTGGTTCTATTTGTGGGTGGTTATGTGCGTGGGGGTGGTTCTGTGTGTGTGAGCGGTGTGTATGTGTGAGTGGTTCTGTGTGTGTGAGTAGTGGTGTGTGTGGGGGTGATTCTGCGTGTGAGTGGTGTGTGTGTGTGGTTCTGTGTGTAGGTGGTTCTGTGTGTGAGCGTGGTTCTGTGTTTGTGAGTTCTGTGTGTGAGAGTGGTTATTTGTGTGTGAGTGGTTCTGTCTGGGTGAGTGTATCTGTTTGTGAGTGGTTCTCTGTTTGTGAGTGGTTCTCTGTGTGTGAGTGGTTCTGTGTGTGTGTAAGTGCTTCTGTGTGTGTGAGTGGTTCTCTCTGTGAGTGGTTCTCTCTGTGAGTGCTTCTGTGTTCGTGAGTGGTTTTATCTGTGAGTGGTTCTGTGTGTGTGTGAGTGGTTCTGTCTGTGGGAGTGCTTCTGTGTGTGTAAGTGGTTCTATCTGTGAGTGGTTCTATCTGTGAGTGGTTCTGTGTGTGTGAGTGGTTCTATCTGTCAGTAGTTCTGTGTGTGAGTGCTTCTGTGTGTGTAAGTGGTTCTATCTGTGAGTGGTTCTATCTGTGAGTGGTTCTGAGTGTGTGAGTGGATCTTTGTGAGTAGTTCTGTCTGTGTGAGTGCTTCTGTGTGTGTAAGTGGTTCTATCTGTGAGTGGTTCTATCTGTGAGTGGTTCTGTGTGTGTGGGTGGATCTTTGTGAGTAGTTCTGTGTGTGAGTGATTATGTGTGTGAGTGGTTCTGTGTGTGTGAGTGGTTCTATCTGTGAGTGGTTCTGAGTGTGTGAGTGGTTCCCGCTCACGGTCAACACCAGTGAAGTTTATCAGAACCGGTCATGGGCCTCCCCTAGGTTGACTCAGACTCAAATGAGATACCCCGTGTGATGTGTAAACATGACCATTGGGGAGACAATGACGGCCGGGCGTGGTGTTGGCTACCCACCCCCTCGTGTGCCGTGCCGGCCTTCATAGGTGCTCGCAAACAGCACTTGCCCCAACAGTCTGTTAGGGCTACATGGGGGATATTTATGTGAGTGCGTGGGAGCGGTGACGCAGTGGCTAGCGCACTGCGCGATGAACCCGGCGACCCGAGTTCGTTTCCCACTCACGAACAGCATTTGGTCGGTGGCGAATATTTGAACCGCTTCTGGGCCTCCACGAGGTCGACTCGGCTTTAAAACGAGTATCTGGTGCGGTGTGTGAACATCAGCACTGGGGAGACAAAGGCGGCCGAGCGTTGTGTTGTACACCTGCCCCTTCGTGTGTCCTGTCGGCCTTAATAGGTGCTTCTCGCTAACAACACTTGCCCCAATAGTCTGTTAAAGGCTAGACGGGGAAACTCTTTTTTTGTTGCCAGCAAATTGTGGACACCTTTGCGCTCATCACCTGCGCGGCTTTAACCATTCAGGCTGGCCCTGCCTCGGATCCACCCTTGATCGAACCAGGCTGCACTGCGTGAGGAGCTCACAGATCCCTGAGAGATCGGGACGCAGCTCACCCAGCATCATTAGCGCTGGCTCGGTCTCGCAGCCCGCAATGCCCAGCCACCCGCATGCCCAAGGAAGCAGCTGCTGTTTCGTCCGGAGCGAGGCTGTCGGGCCAAGTGCTGTGAGCGAACACCGTTGACAGCCGGCACGACGGGGTGGCGAGTGCGGCCACGCCCGACCGCCTTTGTCTCCCCAGTGGTGATGTACCAGGCACTCGCGCACACAGGCGCACGTGTCTCGTTATCCGCGCGCTCTCCTCGCACTTGGTTCCAATTAGCCGGGTTGAGGCACAGCTCCCCTCCACCTCTCCCCTCTAGCCCCCCCCACTCTCCCCTCCCTTCGACACCCCGCGGGAATCACGGACAAGCACGCGCGCCGACACGCCGCGGATGCGTCGCGGTGAGTGAGGAGCGGTGGCGTAGTGGTGAGCGCACTGCGCTACAAACCCCGGTGAACCGAGTCCGATTCCCGCGCTCACGGCAGCCAACGTCGACGATGATTTATTATCTGAACCGGTCCTGGATCTCCCCCATGCTACAGTGTGTAAACATCAGCACTGGAGAGACAAAGGCGGTCAGGTTCGGTGGTACTGTATCCCTTCGTGCGCCGTGCCGCCCTTAATAGGTGCTCGCTGAAAGCACTTGCCTCAATCGCCGGCATCGGCTACACGGGGGATTTTTACAAGTGGCTGTGTGCACGCAATCGCGACGTGCCCTTAGCAGAGACGCGCGTGGCATTTTGGGAAACTGCTAATTGGGCCTCGGACCCGACAGCAGCCGGGACAGGGGGGGGTCCCCTTACCCCCCCCCCTCCGCCCCCCCCCCTAATTAACCCCCCCCCCAGCCTCCCAGAGCTCACGTCGCCACCTTTCCATTCCCAAAAAACAAAGATCCCCCGTATAACCTTAACAGACACACACACCTATGCCCCATGAACCCCGACACGGCTAACGTCAGTGGCTCACGCAGTATTTGTCACTGGTTCCGGGCCTCGCATAGGTCGACCCAGCCGTAAATGAGTAC